AGACAGTGCAGCATGTTTTCGACATCAAAAAGTGCAAAGACGGAAGTACGGCCGAGTAGGACATCTTAAGATTAGATTTGGTATATAGGACACTAGTAGTGTGGTTAGTAAATGCTTTTACAACCGGAGTAGTGATTCACCACGTGCGACAGAGCAAGGTCTGTATTATCCTTGGATGACATTACGTTTTGATCAGGAAATATGAGCGCATCTGAATCACATGGTAACAACATGTTATAGGACGTTGTCCTGCATAAAAAGGCTCCTACACACACATCATAGTGTATGGTTTGTATTAAGTCTTATTTATTGAATTGTTACCCACCTTCATGCTTGCTTCTGTCCCCGCATTTTTTTCTGCATTCCCGCTGTGTCGTGTAGTAGCCGCTGGAAATACATATGTAGATATGACGGTCAGGAGCACGTATCTTTGTCTTCAAGTAGTTAGCTATACTAGATTGTATATATTGCAGATGACTTTCAGTGCGACGACGTCTTTCAGCCTATCTGGAGAAGGAACTAAAAGGTCACGTGCCTCAGATCTGATCGGGTTAATGTCTTTAAGCTCTACATCCAACTTGCTTGTATGCAATCCATCCCTCCAAAGCCCGCTTCAGCTTCACTGACATCACTGAATAATATGGACGTGTTCCCCGGAATATTGAGCACCAAAATGACATTGCAAATGGGGCTCCCGAGATCAGTAAAGTTCGTGATTTCATTTTGTTCGATGCTCTAATAGCATATTGAACGAGCATCCAGAGGCAAGAAACGAGCGAGAGATTCGTCTCCGAGTTCTTCTTCACTCTCTTCGACGCATTCGGAAGCTCCTGTCGTCGCCTCTCCGGTGAAAAAACGTGCGTACGTGACTTGTTTCGATTTATGACTTCGCCTGAACGAGGGTAAACATAGCTAAGAGAGCAGAGACAAGGCAATGCCCTGCATGTGCAGAGTTGATCCCTGTACGTCTGCTTGCTGCTCATGCGGCTCTTGAAATGCAAAGGGTGGAAGACATCATTCGGCATATTGGTGAGGCAGAGGTCTTGGCAGAAGTTGATGACTTAGAAGAAGGGTGCGTCTAACTGTCTGCTACTACATTGGACTAGTAATTGACATCACACATTTCAGCCCGAGCAACCGCGCCCGACGCTCTGCACTAAAAGCTCGCAAATCCCTCACCACCTCTATCCCATCCTCCACATCTCCTTCTGCTATCGGCAAGACTATTCAAATCATTACGCGTCGACGAAAAGCACGACATCTACGCCTCAAAGAGCTTGCTAAGGAGCATGAATCAGAGTCCTGGATTATGGAAGTTGAGGGAGGGACGTCATGTCCTGTGTGTGCACATGCAATCAGAGGCGATCGAGATGTCGTCGAGGCACATGTGGATGCATGTCTAGCACATGAAAGTGCTAGGTTGGAACGAGAGCAGCTACGGGATGAGGATGAAGATCTCCATACAGGTGGTGGCGGGGGCAGCATTAGGACAAGGGTCATTACAAGTGCAAGTCTGCGAGGTCAGTACGGAGGTCACAACACGACATAAATTATAGCTGACTCTATGGACAGGCACTGGTATCCATATTCGAACATCTAATTCACTAGACGTCGAGGATGAAGTGGACATAGATGGCGAGGATGAAGCAGTGTTCGGAGAAGCACAGTTTGGCGAGGCTGATGTACTGGCTTTGCCTTCAAGTGACCGGGATTTGCACCATGAGAATGAAGATATCGACGTCGACATAGATGGTCATGTAGGCACTTCCCAAGAACGACAGACGCTCAGACATCTGGTAGTTGAGGGCAAGGTCTTGATGAAGCAGGCAGATAGTATAGAGAGCAAAGTTATCCAATCAATCGAGATGGACCAGCTCGACCTCGACATTGTCGCTGCGCGCTCGCGAAATGACCCTAGCGCACTTATTCTGGCTCTGGAAAACAAGCTGAAGACTCTGGTAAGTTCATGGCATGATTATATACATCTCCGACTGATAGTCGATTATAGGAATCTAATGCTGGCTCAACATCTTCACCTAACTTATGCCGTATCTGTCTTTCACACTATACCGAGCCGACAGTGTCAACGGGATGCTGGCACACATGTTGTCGTGAATGTTGGCTTCGCTGTCTGGGGGCGACCAAGCTCTGTCCCATGTGCCAACGAATCACCAGCGCTGCAGAGCTGAGAAGGGTGTATATGTGACATTGTGGACTTAATCTTGCTTTCGGTATCTTAAGCATAGCATATCGCATTGTATTTGCATTAGACATTATCTTGTTTATTCCTGTAAGTAATCATCGCGGTCAGCCTTCGACTCTTTAAAACAGAATTGCGCGCAAGGTAGTGCTCATATCTGGCCTAATACCATCGTCATGTACCACAGAATAAACCGGTTCAAGTTAAACTGGTTACAAGCGGTGGAAATTCAGGGCCCCCGCATGGAGAGCCACCACGGAATATAATCCTGGCAAGTGCAAAGGAGGAAGAACAAAACTTACCTGAGTCCACAAACAGGTTCCATCGGCATCACATGAGACCACTCAGAATTAATCAATACAACCTCAAAACCTCAGCAGTACCTGATCGAGCGAAGGGCTAAGTAGATAATTGGCTTTTTTAAGAATTATAAAATACAGCTGGAGGTGCGTATGCAAGGAGTAATTCCTCATGCGAGTGGGCTTATGAGCCTAGTTCAACGTGTTAAAATTTTCCGAGGTCAACTAGAGGCACTGAGATAACGCACTTAATGAGGGTGGGTTGAGGCGTGCTCCGAGTGTAGCCAATGTAGATTATGAGCGGTATCCAGCCATAGTGCAGCACAGTCTGCAGAGTGTCAGTAATCCAGTTCAGGGTAGGGTGTGAACCAACGTACGCGGCCAACCTCCACAAGTTTTGTGATACGTTCCTATATAGAACCATAAGTATCGAACACGACAATTATATGAATATCAGTCGAACCTTGGTCTCTTCGGAAGGCATTTTCTGCGAAAGTTTGATGACGGCGCAAACTAAGAAACTTGAGCTTGAACGCCCACGGAAAAGGCAGGTCCCTTTTATTTGTAACTCCGACGACTTTTTGGCTTGATCACTACAGCGGCAAGATTAGCTGCTTATTATCTCTGAAAATGCCTATACGCTCGTCCTCATCAGCGGCGTACATACACAGCACTCCACCAAATTCAAATGGTGTGCCTTCGTGAGTTCACCCAAAACTCACCACACGATATAGTTGATCTGACGGTCTGCTAGGACACGCCCAACTTCACTAACGATTCATCCGTCCGCACTCTTCTCGATCCTTGACCACTACCTTCGGCGAACAGATGCTCAGCATCGTGTCATTGGTACCCTTCTTGGTACACGCACAGACTCTACCGTTGACGTCAAATCTGCATTTGCTGTCCTCCACTCGGAGACTGATGAGCAGGTTGCAGTGGACATGGATTACCACCGTGCCATGTACGACCTCTGCACTCGTGTTAGGCCCAATGAAACCATCGTAGGATGGTACTCGACTGGCTCAGACTTAAACACATATTCTGCCTTGATTCAAAATTTCTACTCCCAAGAGACCGCACCAAATCAAGCGGTACACGTTGCCCTTGATACTGGAACGGAGGAAGGTAAGGGTGCTGGAGTGAAGGCATATGTAAGGTACGTGCTGTACCTTCCATGCCATGCAGTTCCCCTGATTTTATGTTAACCGATCCAGCTCACCAGTTGGGATCTTCCCCAAACCCGAAAATTGTGTATTTGTTCCAATCCCTTGCGAACTTCGCTTCCATGAAGCAGAACGCAGCGGCCGTGAGTTGGCTATGAGGTGTACAAACACGCCATCAATTGAATTTTCTTGCTTTAGTTGACCTGCTGTTGTCTTCGAACCCGTCGTCCAACCAAACCGACCTCGATGTTCTTGCATCCTCATTGACAGACGTTCAAAACATGCTCAACAGAGTACTTGCCTATGTGCAGTCCGTCTTGCGCGGTGAGGTTGTTGGGGACAAGGCAGTCGGGAGGTATCTTATGGACGTATTGGGTACCGGCGTGGAGGAAGATGGCGGTTGGACCGCGGGGCTACAGGACACTCTAATGGTAACATATCTCGCGAACTTGGTCCGAAGCCAAGCCGAGGTTTCTGCAAGATTAGCATTGACCACCGCAGCATGAGCAACGGTGCGTATTCCTAATTTCGATTGCGACCGAAGCCATTCATGTGATCACCTAGCTTAAATTGCTTTCTCCCGATATTCTAAGCTTCCATCTGCAAAAATAGGTGGCTCATATCAGTGCACTGTAGTCTGCTGTACCAGTCACCCTCATAATCCTGTGTAGAACAGCCGCTTCAGATAGCATTGTAGTTGCCATCTTTTTTTGTGCGAGGGGGAGATTATGATTAAGATTGATTTTTATCAAGTGGCACCTTCGCCCCAGTGATGCCAGACACGTCTCCAGTGCTCGCTGAACCATGAAGATAGACAATCCCATTGAGGACGTTGTCTTGGTTTTCTGCGTGTCTCTTAAGCTGACTGCAGCTTCGATCGACTTTACTAACTCGAGTCCGACTTGTCAAAAATATCTGGAACCGAGATTACTGTTATCGTAACGGCGCCGGCGCCATCACTTATTCCAGCACGTTGGGTGGTGCGGATTCGAAACCTGCTGATAATGATTTCCCCTCACTCACGGACAGTTCTTCGCAGGTTTATCTCACCTTAGCAAGTGTGCTGGTCAGTGTGGTTACCACAACAGAATCGAATTCTGTTTCTCTTAGACTGCGCAGGTTCGAAACCTGCCCACAACAAGGTTGTTTCTATTGGAAGACTTACCCCAGTTCTCTGGAGGTTTAACATTTAACTTCGAGAGCATCCTGGCGAAAATGGCTGCAACAAAACTGAAATCTGTTTCTATTTGACCACGCAGGTGAGAAACCTGCCGACGACAAGGTTTTTTCTATTGGAACACACCTTGATACTCACCCATGGATTATTTCACATCAATCGGTCTTAGCTTATTGGCTATCATGACAGAATCAAAATCTGTTTGCGCATGTTCGAAACCTGCTGACGATGAGGTCTTTTTTTCTATCAGAACACATTTGACATTGACTCAAGGATGGGTTTCTCGTAGGCTCATCTTAACTTCTGTTAACCAAGTGGTTACCTCAACAGAATCAAAATCTGTTTCTCTTGGACTGTGCAGGTTCGAAACCTGCCGCCGAATCACAATTTTTATAGCACCTTGACATCGACTTGTGAGTGGTTTCCTTGGACGTTTATTTAATTGGTCTTAGCTAAGTGGTCACCACAGCCGAGCCAAAATCTGCGTCTCTTGGAGTTGGTTGAAACCTGCCGACAACATTTTTGCGGTGTATAGATCCTCGAAGGTCCATCTCAACTAAGCTCGATTATTGCGCCGAAACTTCCTGACAGTGATAGCCTGTTCATGACAAGGAATTTACCTTTATGCCCTACCAGGGTCGTCTCAGAATTATGAGACACATCCCCGAGATGCGTACGTGCTAACCTAGATTATCCAGAGACTGATCAAAACTGTTGGGATTCACCACCAAACGAAAAAAAAAAATTGGGGCCGGAGGCCAGAAGAATGCACGCAAGCTAAGGACAGAGCGAGTCTGACAGTTAGGAAAATGATGTAACCTCCCAGCCTCAGATCGTCAGCTCTTTCAATGGAGGATAACTTGAAAGCTAAAGGTGAAAGAATTGACAGTGGCAGACCGAGTCACATCGTTCTGATGTGTGTAGTTTGTGCGCGCTCCTGTTCTATGTCGGCGGAACAAAAGAATGATTTACTTTTGATTGCCGCAGCAAGACCCGGGCACCAGACAGAGAAGTCAACCCCATAACAGAAAGCCCAAGACGCCATGCAGCGTTAAAGTATGTGTGGACCACGTGCTTTGATCCGATAGCCCACAGCAGCATGGTTGTTCCTTCTAAGTCAAATTATATGTTTTGCCTCTACGGAAATTATTAAACGCGACACGAACCATAGAATCCGCGGACAAGAAGTCGTTCACTGAATCCTGTTCTGCATGGCACAACTCTTACATAGTCGATTGCTGAGTTGGGTTACTCCAGAACAAAATTTATTGCTGCCTGAGTAATGAAGCGACTGAGAAAACCTAGTGAAAAGAGAACATCAACGACCATCGTTGGAATGACAGATCCACCTCGTCCGAATGATGCGTGACTTGTATGTATCGTCAACTGAGGAGGGGGGATCACAGAGGGAAAGTTTAAGACAGTGAAGCAATTGGTTTTCAACATGCGCCCAACTAAAGCCTAAGGATTTCCGACGCACTATTCATTATCCATTGACAGAGTAAAAATATTGCAGTCCCTGCATTCCCTTTGCTCCCTGCTCCGCCCAGTTATGCACAGTTACGCAGGATAGTTATGTAGGAGAAATTCATCTCCCATCAAGGTATTGAGAAGCGAAGCGCTCCAGTTCTGATCAGCTGTTGAATATTCTCGAGTGCTGTAAATCATGTCGAACAGCGAGTATTTCGCCAAGGGGCCATGTCGTAGCAGGCCGATTATCTGCATCGTTGTGATGCATGTCCACGAAAATTCCAGTACGCATATCCTTATTCTGTGATACTTCTGCCTCGACCAGGGGTCTCACTGAGTGGAGCAAAAGCTGCTGTGAACTGTAGGGTCCTATCGTATTCAGGCGGACAGCCGAGGAGAGAAGCGAACGTGCATGGAGAAACAGAAAAAGATGCTGAGCTCGCACTAAAGAAATATTATGATTTATATCGAGGATTCGACTATCAAACATACAAAGGGATATTCCAAGAGCACCGGTCAACACGCCCCAGCACACGGGCAGATGGCCATGCGTCTCTTCTCCGCGAACCATCAGTTTCAGACGATCAATAAGGACGGTCAAGCTCTTTGAGAGATGGTTTTCATCACTGAAGCCTGGGGGGCAAGCAAACCCTTTTGTGTACAGTGTGAGGAGTGCTACCCCTTGGGCTTTCGAGGCCCGTTTAGCCACATGATTGAGTGTCATAGTTTCGTACAGCTCGTCTAGCTCGAGCAATTTCTTGATTGTAGCGTCATAGTCGATCTTTGGCTTGGCCTTGAATGCATCTACTGCACGATGGGCATCCGAAACAAACGGAAGAGCGCTTCGGGCGTAGGTATGCAGGCTGTCTTGAATGAAGGCAACTGTGCCCGCTGTAGCTGCTCTTCCGAGTCCCTTCCCCGCGCTTGATGCGGATGAGAGGGAGAGGAATCCGTGCGTTCCGTAGGACTCGAACCCAGAGGACGCGACGAATGAGCCCGTGGGTAAATTAGAGTCTGCGAGGAGAAGTAGAACATATGTTTCGTCGAAATCGGTATCCATGATGGAGTGCTAGTAAATGATCGTTCTTTGTAACATATTCATAGTCCGGGCGTAATGCACTCACTCTCAGACTGGGATCCTGGTCCAGTTTATTGTGCAGCGGTTCTGCAAGGATATAATAAGATGTGGCTGTAGTCACTGAATTTCGGTCAGACATGTAAGTAGTCAGTCCAAAGCTGGTCATGACCATGAATCCAGTTTAGACGAATTATATATTTCATTGACGATCCAGCAGCATCAAACCATTCACAGTAGAGTAGTATACATAACGTGCGTATGGAACGCGTGTAGATGGGAATGTCGAGAAAATGCTGGGTGGTAACCCGAAGTTCAGAAAACAGGTGGTATGCAGAATCGAAGTATGAGATGAACACGAAATGCAAGCCACCGAGTCAACGCGGGGACAAGAACTCGAAGGTACCTAGAACAACAAGTGGTAAACTAGTATAGTAGAGATATCAGCAGGTTGACGTGCGAGCAATAGGATAGTTGAATCTGTGGGAGCGAATGATACGAACGCAGAGACGAAGAAGAAAACAGATTGTGAGTATGTAGGATGGAGGATTGCGATTAATGGTTGCGAAACAGGGAAAAAAATAAAAATTGGAGGCGACGGCGAAGTTGACAGTCCGAAAAGTGGGTTCTGGGGGAAAACCATGCGATCAATGAGAAATGGAGGGATGTCAATCATGTCGTGGAGTGGTAAGTACAGATATATATATAACTTGCAGATTTGTGCTGTAGATGCTTGCATGCGGACTGTGAGAATACGAGGGAATTTAAGTTCGTCCCTTTAACCGGCCCTAGCGGCCTCTAGTGTGGTCGATGAAGGCGACAAAGCGCGATGCGGGAAATGCTGCGGATGATCATGAGCCAGGGAACCTTCTGAGCTCTGATCGGGTATCAAGGCATGCGATGGAGGGAGACCATTCGCGCGCGAACGAGGTGACGAAAGTGGTAGACCGAACGGCGAAAAGGTTGAAGGTGCACCATTAGGTGAAGGCAGCCCAAATGCTTGTGAACCACGTGGGAAGGCGTTCGCATTGCTAACGGACGGCGCGGGCGCCATACCGAAGTTCGTGGATGACGGAGGTGGAGAGAAGAACCGTGGAGGAGGCGGTGATCTTGAGTAGCCATACGCCCCAGATAGAGATGCTGTGTTCGAGCTCTCGCGCCTTATCCCTATAGACGCGTCGACATCGAAGGGGTGGCGAACTTGGAATGACTCAGGGGGGAAGGGTGAAGCAACACCGGAGTGAACGTTGCCTTGCTGTTGTTGAACCAAGGATGCGCCAGTACCAGCACTAGTCGGTGTGCGTACGCCCAATGGGTTCTTGCTGTATGACAAGCGGATACCACCATTCTTGACAATGCCACCGAGGGTATTACCATAGAGTTCATTAAGAGCTTTTGTGGCAAAATGTACATCGTCGAACTGCGCAGAGCTTCAATGAGCCGTAGTACCGCGACTGAAGTACAATCACTTACCTCGACGAAGCACATTGGGCCATTGCTTTTTTGCCTAAAGCATAACTTCCTGTACCCCGGGCGCCGAGAGAAAAGGTCCCTCAGGCTATCTTCCAGAAACCCTGCAGGGTAACCACTGCCAACGGACCCTGTCGGAAGGTTGCCCACGTACAATGTATTGATGGGTGGATTCTGGTCGACAACGACATTCCTTGAGCCAGCACCGACAGCGTTCCCCGCACTGGTTGCGCTACCTCCTCCATTGATTCCAGTAGACGAACTTGCAGATCCCGACTGGGAAGCAGGCGATGGAAGCTGGGGTGAGCCGACACTAGCACTGCCCGAACTCGGTTGTGCACTGGTGCTAACTGCAAGGAGGACCGGCCTGTCACCCTCAAACCCTCCGGCAGAGCTTGACGTAGCGCTGCCAGGTGCCATCGATTGAGACTGGCTCTGCAGGTGTAGGGACTCTTCCAACTGGGAAGATAGGGGATAAAGCGAGCGCAACGCGCCAGTACGGTGAGGTGGGAGCATCATATCGTCCTCATCGCTTGGTGAAAAGGCTGCATGGGAAAGAGGGGGGGATTCGTCCTGAGGAGATGGAGGTCGAACTGGCATCATAGAAGACTTCCTAGCTGCATACAGTGATGAGAGAGTTTGCGGAATGCCGGATGCCTCCCTCTCACGGGGAGAAGGCGCATCCCAAGGTCCGATACTTCGGGACTCGCGAAGGCTGTTGTGATCAGGAGTTATATTGCTGGAGCCATCCCGACCAGTCTGTGCGATGATGTTACCATATTCATTTCCCATAAGCGGGCTGTGACCGCTGCTTCCACCTTCTGTTAGCCCAGAAATGGACATCGGCCCACCCGTAGGAGAAAGGAGACCACTCTGAGAATGGCGGGATAAAGTAGGGGCGGAAACCGAATGAAAAGCTTCAAATCGAGAAGCGTCAGTCTGGAACTGCTTGAGGTCCTTGCTGCGCCTGACCCTCTCGTCTTCATCGGCCTGAGCGCGTTCGCGAGCACCGCGCATCAAACCGAGTCCGAGGCCAAGCGCCTCCCTGCGCCTATCACGGATATTGTTTTCCCGCTCATCTTCACTGCTGTCTCCGAGCCTCCCGTCGCGCCAGCCAGACCCACCCAGCCCCACTGAGTTTAACTCCCTCTCGCGTGGGGAGAGGATATCAGAATTGTTGCTAGTAAGCGCAGCCAGATTGTTCAAATTGAGATTA